ATTTGTTCAACGCACCTCTACCCCGTGCTTATATATTTTCAACCTCTAACTCCATACAGAGCACTGATACATGCTAGATATCATGCATGCAACACTGAACTCCACTGAGACCGTGCTGATAATGGAGACTGTGCCTATAATGTTTGGAAAGGCGCTCACACTGCGCTCACACTGCGCTAGTATTAGAGACTGTGCGAGTACATGTAATGGAGACCTTTGCTTACGATGGAGAATATACGGTAGGTTAGTTTAGGTGTACAGTAAAACCAAGACTACATAAACCAGAGTGTGCAACTGTGCATATCAGATCTGAAACAGCGCAGTTCGTGCACTACGTCACCCTGATGAGATCAGCCAAGCCGCGACTTGCGTACAGCTCAAATTTTCATGTTTCATAGCCCGGAAATCAGCCAAGTTTGCTTGATTTTAGACGTCCTGTTTCAGGATTTCGGTGTTTTGTGTGACTGTGTACGCTGCGTACATCCACCGACAAGTAAATTCACCAGGCTATCCGTCTCAAAAAACCGAAATCAGGACAAACTCAGTGAACTGCACCACCGCGACTGGTTACGCAACTTTTCACCGTACCTGTGGCTTACCATGCCGTCAGAAATGACGTAGTGCACGAATTACACTCCCACAGGAACCATCCCGAGTTGCACACTCTGGTTTATGTACTCTTGGTAAAACCTTTCAAAGCAACCATTCTGATAAGGCGACCACCTGCCCTAGAGGACCACTACAACTAGTACCAAAGGTTCCAGTCACACGACCCTGGATAAGGAGACCACCTGTTCAGGGAGGCCACGTTTGTAAGGTCCTTTGAGTGGTCGGCTTAGACAGGTTTCACTGCACGTTCGTCTGTTTTGATGGGAATGTCGTCAATACCCTTTGCTATGGAGACAACAATAGTAAAACACTTCTTTTGTCTATTTTGCTCATGCACATCATCTACCACTGCACACACAACGAAATGCGGGGTGTGCAGCCTTACTGCACAAGACAGACAAAGCCTAGCCGTCGCTGTGAAAACCTGGTATGACCTCTACCGGCTGGAGCGCTTAGGATACTGGCTCCCACTTTCTCAGCGTGACACCTGGTGTCCTCCATCACGCAGCCATGCCCACCACCTCGACATCAGCGGCAGCGATACGGCAACGGTTGCCTATCTCGGATCTTGGATCCCAATAACGCAGCACCCGGTGCCACCTACAGCACACACCACACAACACCAGAGCAACACGGCAGTAAATGTTCCTACCTATAAAGCGAGCATAGCAAACACCAACCGGTAGAGCCTTGTCTTGTACCATCGCAAGCCCGGCGGTCACTGCAATTCTCCACACGATAACTTTAAACGACTAAATATTCATCATCTCCCTAATTGCACTCGACGCCAACTAAGCCCAGTTGCAACGACTTTTACCCCCCCCCCCCCCCAGTTAACCAGCAACAACCAAGCCCTAGACCGCTCAGGGCACTGGAGCTGAAGCACAACATGCCGATATAAACACCAACAAATAAGTAAATAATGTAACTCTCTCACGGACTGCACTGGATGCCAACTAAGCTAAAGCAATTCTAACAACATGAGACCCCCAGCCCACAGTCATGTCAATGTGGCACGGCCTGCTGACCTGGTTGGCCTGCGGTGTTAGCCCGCTGGGGACAGAACCTGACATAATGACCCGGCTGGCCACACCGGGGGCACACCCCTGAGCGGAAATTGCCCATCGGTGCATGCATAGATAGAGGTGGTTGGCTAAGCGGCATCACAGCCCCCTGCATGGTATGGGTTGGGTTTGGCATGTTTTGGCCCCGCACCACCCCAGCTACCTTCTTCTTTGACCCTTCAGCCTGGATTGCAGCCTGCAGACATTTCTGCTTTTTGGCTCCCCCAACTAGTGCGATAAGCTAATCGCCTTCCTGGAAGGATGTTGCCACCTGATGGCCATGTTTCCCCGCAATCACAAGCCACTCTTGCCTCTCCTTCAGCAGCCTCTCACCTTTTTTCGCTGCCTTCCTTCTCCTCTTCTTGGATTTTGCCGACCTCACATCGTGCAGCAGATCCAGGAGCTCGGCATTCACCTCGAATTGCTTCACATAGCTTGTCGTTTTCCAATTCGCGACGTCGCCGGCGGCTGACCTTGCTTTCCGCTTTGGCAATCTCGACCGGGATCGTGACGAATCCGAGAAGGGTGATCGTGACGATGATGATGATGATGACGACCCTGACTCTGCTGAATCCCTTGGTCTTTTCCTTTTCAGGGACCTGCCACGGCCTGTCAGCTCACTGACACTCCTTTCGAGCATCCGGATGTTCACCCCCAGCAGCTCCCTCTCCGCCATGAGCTGGGAATGCGGCATTCTATTTATAGGTGATGCCGGAGCCTGCGTCTCAACTTCGCAGGGGACTTGCTCTTCAACTGCAGTCTCGTATTCCGACGAGGTGTTACCAACTATGTCGGAGTTGGGGAACTCGAACACAGACAAGTCACGGGTACCTCTTCTCCTACCACTACCTCTGCCTCTGCCAGAGGCCACCTGCACGGCGCTTGCAACACAGCCACGTCGACCCATTCTGTATCTGACAATTATTACAAAAGAATCGAAATTTTGGCCGAGACTGGCAACTTTCTGTCTGGCAAGAAGAAAAAATAATGAATAGCACTCTGCGCCAGCACGCTTTTCCTGCGGCCGCTGTGCCCTCGCACCCATCGATGACCACATGCAAAAATCTACAAAGAACATTATTTCTCGTTTATTAACTTTATTTCACTGCGTTCAGCCAACGAGAAATGAACACTTCTGTGTGTGTGTGTGTGTGTGTGTGTGTGTGTGTGTGTGTGTGTATATATGAATAGAAAGTATATGAACCCTGAAACCAACAAAGGTGGTAGGTACAACAATACACCTTCAAGCAGCCGAGCCCGTTGGCAACAGGCCCAAGTGCCAGCTAGTTCGGTTGGTGGGTACACTTATGCCAGATAGTGTTGGGCCTGTTGCCAACGGGCTCGGCTGCTTGAAGGTGTATTGCTGTACCTACCACCTTTGTTGGTTTCAGGGTTCATATACTTTCTATTTGAAGTATACATACCTGTTAACCATGGACTGCTTCTGGCTAGATTAACTCTTGTGTAATCAATGGTGCTAGTGAAGCTTATATCAGATCCACTCTGATTTAGCCACCCACACTAGTACCAAGTATTACTTTCACTGGGGGCAGGGGTACCTGCAGTTGGATCCCGGGACGGATACCCTGATGCCGTCAATCCTTTTTCTGCACCTTGTCCTCACCCACTTACTGAGGTGTGGTGAGCCCGTAAGTGGGATCATTTCAAGTCCACCCTAGTTTGGGGATTTCAGGGGGTGTCGGCCGCTGGGTGGTTCAATGGCCAATTGAGTCATCTTTCCAAGATTCCTTTTGAGTCTCTCTCCCCTCTCCCGGGGAGACCCACGTGACCAGTTTTGGCAGTGAGCAAGTACAAGTACAAGTGTGTGTGTGTGCGCGTACGCGTACATGCGTGTACATGTGTGTATGTGCTCGCCATTTCGCTGTCCAGTGTGTTGCTGACATTACCGCTGTGATCGACTTTGGCGAGGAGGAAGCGGTGGATGCTGGCACATTGGCCACTGGTAAGGCGTGTGTCCGACATACAAGCTAGGTTTTACAAAAACAGGACAGGCACACCATAGCAAAATGTATGCAGAAGCAGATCCAAAGTCCAGATTTTTCAAGTTTAAAGTGGGTTTCGGGCCTCAATTCGGCCAAAACCGGACTTTCAAAAGCCAGCGGGGCTAGTTTGGATGAATGGACTGTAGTCGGTTTTGGGTCTCGATTTTCTCACTTGGTGATACCGGGAGTACCAGCTCCAGTAAAACAGATTTTGATGGCAATGGTCCTGCTAGTCTTTTGTTGCTGGTTGCGTGTTGTTAGATGTGTGTCCGGCTATAGAGCGTAATGACGAGCTCTGTGCATGTCTTTGTTTGTGTGTGTGTGTGTGTGTGTGTGTGTGTGTGTATATGTGTGTGTTTGTGTGTGTGTCTGTCTGTCTGTCTGTTTGTATCCGTGTCTGTGTGTGACCGCAGTTTTATTACTTGCATTTCAACACTGGCTCTGTGTTTTTGAATGTTCTTGTCTTCCACTGTGTGATGTCGTGTGCTGTACACAAGTCCAGCATCGTCTCGATGCATCCAGCTTGAGATGGAGATCTCCGCTCACCTGTCGGACCATCGCCGTGGCGAGCGACTCCGCAACGGCGTTCACGTAACCATCGCCGGGGCACCCAACGTGGGCAAGAGCAGTCTGCTGAACATCCTGTGTGAGTGATTATGTAGGCTTGATGTACTGTGAGCCCAGAGACCTTTGCGATTTTCGCAATGGGTGTGAAATCGCGAAAGTAAGTGGGCGCTAAACGCGAAACTTTAGACTCGAGTCAATCATCACTTTGACTACAATTGCAAATGTGTGCAGGCGCAACACGGTCTGTCATCGCAATTCGCGAACTAAAATTCGCGAACTAAAACGGGCGCAAACAGTTCCGGGTTACAGTACGTCAGGCAGTTTGGCAAAGGCTTGGTAAAGTTGATATCCGTACGATGACACATCACGTTACACCAGCACAGGTCCAATTCATAAAATGCAATGGAGGATGTTGTATAGCACGGTTTTTCTTCTTCTTTTCGGTGTCACTTTATTTCGGTAGAGAAACCAGGCACCTAAATGTAGATTACACCTAAATGGCACTGGAGTATGCACTGTATGCAGTGGCGGGTTTAGGGGGGGGCGCGGGGGGCGCGCGCCCCCCCCCCCCTCAAAAATTTCGATCTAGGTTTCGAAAAATAATACAGGGCGCGCGCCGGGTCGAGCTAGACTAGGCTCGGGGCGCGCGCGCCGCGCGGCCTGAAACGATTGTCCAAAAGCGGTTGCACGGTGCTAGTACAGTACGAGTACACTGTACAGTCTACACAGACTACAGAGCTAGAGACAGAGTAGAGTCTACGTACAGTGAGCATGCACGGCTACAGTACAGAAACACGGTGACCTGACTGTGTACTGTTGTACAGTGTGATCCCTGCTGGGACGCGCTCGACGCGTCTTCAAGTTCAACGGTACAAACATCGAAGAAAAGGGGTAGGACTAAAGGGACAAGCTTATCTATTTTTGCAGATTTTCTTTCATAAAAAAAGAAACGTCACAGCCAAGCCTTCGTACGTGGCCGCGTCGCAGCGGTCCGCGATACCGACCGGGAAGCTCGTTGCCTGGTGTAGGACACTTGGCCGTGGCCATTGCAAGGTCAGACGGATGAGCAACCTGAATCAGTCGCATGAAGTACGAAGTAGTCTGGTGTATGTACCGTATGCATACCGTATTTTTCTTATCTCGTCTAGAGAGAATTTGTTGAAGGAGAAAAATTACGAACTGATTGTGATTATGCATTGCGCCAACTGCAATTACCGGTAATTATTTAGATGGTTCTTCCCCCGTCTGTTGGCTCTGGTAAAAGAATTAAAAGAGCTTTGTCGTTGGCAGATGTCAAGCCTAAGAACATCGTGGTAGCTTTGCAGTTGATGCTGTGCGAGTTGCAGGACTGTCTGCCTTGGAGCTTGAAATGGAGCTGTGCTTTTTCGATTACCCGAAAATCTGGCATTGTTATGGAGCGGCGGAAGTTTTTGATGCAAGATATGTGTGGCCGTGACGCACCAGTACATGAACTATGCAGGGAAATCATTGTATGAATAGGCGCGAGGCGTCAGACACGTCTCCTGGAGAAGGGACCATGCTGAACATGTAAACGTACCAGAATTGTCCCATTGCCAGAGAATCAGCTCAATTCATGTGCCTGATATGTGAGGATTTTAACTCGTGCTGCTTGAGAATTGGTCTACTCGATGCTGTGCAAGAGAGCATAGCAACATATCATCATGACTGTCGTGATTTGCGGCCATACATAATAGGGCCGTGAAGCAAGAGGAGATGTGCGAAATGATAGGCACATTAATTTCGCCTGCAGACTTGCACAACAGTATATTTCCAAGATCGTCTTTGCCGCAAGTGGATATGCGTTTTGTGGAACGAATGGTCAGTATACAGCGCGAGTCGCTAGTCCATCGCTATGCCGCGACTTTGCCCACACATATCAATTATTGATATTGTAATCGCATAGCCTCTATTGGTGTCCAGCTGCCGACTGAAGGGATATGGCAGGGCTATTGGAACCGTCAATTCTACTTGATTGCAGGAGACATTTAACGAACCGCCAACCCTCAGTTTGTGGATTGTACCCTCCCATCACTATCAGCATTAGGTGTATACAGTACTAGCAGTCAAGAAGGAAAGAAACGATGTGTTCGTCTTTATCTCTCTTCATTATCATTCTGAAGAAGACAACCGTCGAATCGCTAATACATTAGTATCAATCAGTCAAATCTTGCTTGTCTCTCTCTCTCTCTCTCTCTCTCTCTCTCTCTCTCTCTCTCTTTCTCTCTCTTTCTCCCTCTGTAGCTCTCAGAACAATATGTCCTCTTAACTCAATAGCACACCAGAACGCAGTTGTGTGGAGTGATCATTGTTGAAGTATTCATTCTCAGAGTCCACCAACAGAATTAGTGTTAATAATTACCACTCGAGAGAAGACTGTAAACTCAGCACGTGCATATAGGGCTGCACACACAGGCTACGCTAGCTGCAGCGCCGGTACAACGGAACTATATAAAGAGCCAGCCAGCATGAATCAAAGCAATCGACTGTCACGGCACCAGTGCAGACAAAGTGATGCGTACACAACACAGACAACGTGACAAGTCCAGCTACATACAGTTACTTGAGCAGAGAGAAGCACCAACACAATCTTCAGCATGCATGCACATACTTCTAACAATTAGCCTTACGCATGCCCGCACGTATACCTAGACATACTCTCTCTCTCTCTCTCTCTCTCTCACACACACACACGCACACACACACACACACACACACACACACACACACGGAGGCATATCGTGATATCCAGTCGCAGCCATGAGGTTGACGCACCCGCATGCACCAGTCTTTTAAATAATGTGACAGACAAAAGCCAAAGAGAGCGTACCAGCTAAGGTTCCAGGAAAGCAAATAAATAACAAGGCCTATTACATAAGTCCACGTGTCGATGGCATGGATACGGCATACGCACAAACGCCCAAGCATGCATCACCAATCGTTCACACGACAATGCCTGCAGTATGTTCCCATGTCGTGCGTACTGCAAACATGGTGAAACACATGAGAGCAGTTGTTGTTGCGGCACGGCTTGGTCGGTAGCTGCGGAAATGCGCAGCTGGGGTTACAGCACTTAGGCTGCTGCGGACCTACAACACACATAAATACAAATACACACACACACACAAACATGCACACACACACACACACACAAACATGCACACACAGTGTTGTAGCCTAGCATAATATTACTAATGCAAGAGAACACAATTTCTACCATTCTGCAGGTGCAACATATGCGAAGAAAAATAAATTACAAGCTACAGGACATGAACAAACCCGAAAGCTTTATTTGATTATTTAACAAATGAACGATGAACTCTGTCACCTCGCTGCCGATTTAAAACTGAAATAGGGAAAATTGTGAGGATACTGCAAACAAAAACCAGCATACCTGTATTGCATCTTGTCCTTTGCTGTAGCCCATCTGTTGCGAATACTGGTACAGACGTAGCAGGCATTGGATACAACGTGGCTCCTGCAGAGTGAAGTAAACGCGCAGCTGTAATATGTTGACACACACGAACACGCAAGCACATACGTACACACACACATACATACACACCCACACACACAAACACATTAGCATGATTTTGCTCTCATGGGGCAGCTGGACACAAAATCAAAACATGATATGGATGAACAGATACTTATTATAGATTATTGGAGTGGATTACACCGAGCAACACCAATGGCTGTACAGTGTACAGATGCACACTGAAGACATCGCCACTTACGTTCGGGAGCTGCAGCCTGTTGTATTGAACTGCTTCCCGTCAATGCTGTCAATGTGACGGAACCAGGTCTTGTCGAGGCTGTAAGAAATGTTTGAGGCATAAATTGGCAAGGAAAATAACGCGTGAATTATAATAGGGGGGAAACGTACATCTAGAACTTACAAGAAAATGTAATTAAGCGGGGAAGGAAGCAAATGAAATTAACTGGGGAAAGGAAAGCCTACCACACATTGATTGAGCACTGAAGATTGTTCTCTATGGAAGTACTTACATGCCTATACTCCACTTTGAACATGGTCTGGATAGCCCGGGCATCTCGTAGACCACTCTCGACGAGTTGGAGAATTCGGTCGATAACCGACTGACTGAGTCTTTGGCTGAGCTCGCTGGCGAGTTTACCTTTCTCGGTAATGACATCATGACCACTGTGACTACCCTCAGTTGGGTAGCTCACGATAAACCTAGTGGGCATGCACATACGTGAAAGACATTTTATTGGTGATTCTGCAGAGCTACGTACATTACACATACTATGGTACCATACAACTGGGTTAATTGGCCTACGTACCTTACATGGCAAGTGTGGCATTCATACATGAACTACCGATCACTGTACACAATCAATTACTTTCGCACTATGACATAAAAAGGTATGTTATAATGTTAGTATAACTCACCGATCGCACACATTGAGTTTGGACAGGTCGCCAGCATCGAGAGCAGCCAAAATAGATATCTTAAGCTCCTTCACTTTACCCGCTTTTGCTTTTACCAAGGCGGAAGCAGAAAGACCAGTTGAGTCAACCGAATAAGCGGGGAGTCGCAGAATGCGACGAATGTTGCACGATGCCTCACATCCAATTTTTCTTGTCCCTATAAGAATTACAGGGCATACCACAGTGACATCAACATGCAGTACAACTATAAGCTGGGTGCATTACAGCTGGATAGTGGCAAAGATTCCTTATTCGTATCTTTGTATAGCAGTTGACATGATGACATGTAGAACAACAATTTAAAAAAACCGATGCCTAGCTTTACAGCAATGTGCACCAAAAAGATAACCATGACTCTGGGTATGCTTCTGACATTGGAGTTTTATCCTCTTCTTCTTCTTATCAGCTGAGGCTTTGGGGTAAGAATGATCAGATGCTGAACTCGTTACATCATCAGAGGACTCGGTGCATTTTGTGGTGTGGCACCTGTAATGTTACCGACACAACAACACTTGGTCACTGACAAAGATGATGCAAAAGAATCAAGAGGTAGTACAACTGTTCTCATTGATAACTAGCAATTGCATGAAATAGATCACATTCAGATTCTTCCTGCCCATTTAATTCCATTACCTGTGCTTCCCAAATTGACATTCTAGTATGCGAAAGCCACAGCAGACGAACGGAACTCCATCAAAAGGAATCGGTGCACAGCTCGTGCCACGTTCCTGGCTCCATATGAACCCCTTTGGACGCAGAATGGCCTCCTTGAAGATCTCTTCAACACTGCAACATTTGTGGACATAGCACACATACATGTACGAGACGTTATAATTATACCAGCAGTCATTACTGTTAATCCAGTGACGACGCTATGTACACTGCAAAGATATGCGTTGGAAAATGGTTAGTTATGTGTTGGAATACAGTGGATGTGAGGTCTTCTTGCTCAACAGGGAATCAAATTAGAGCCTGATTCCCAAAACATGATTCAGCACCCTGGGTGTAAGGTTTCGTACCCTGCTCAACGAACTAACAGACAGCATGACCATCAATTTTTTTGATGCATCCTTGCCATACTTCGTTCCAATGTTTCTAATACCGTAATGTCGCGTATAACAGCAAACCGGGGTCCAAACCATGCTTCTATTCAAGTTATGCTTCTATTCGAAATATGCTTCTACGTCAACATCATTCTGCACTGTGCAGTGGATACTGCCACGCATGTACTCGCACATGTACTTTACAGGGAGCGGCTTCTATTCAAACCAACTGTGTTACAGCGGGCTTCAAAAAAATCGGCTTCTATTCGAGTCATGCTTCTATACAGGTCATGCCTTTTATACGCGACACTACAGTATGTGGGATGGGTGCAGTGGATATCAAAACTAATTTATAATCGTCCCGCTCTATGCAAGTGTGAATGCATTTACGTGTATCCGCTAGCAGGGCTGTAATGCACTGTGCACTACTGTAGGGCAATGCACACTGCATATTCTTCTCTTCAAAACCTATGAATTATACGACTCACTGCTCCTTTGGAACCAACATAAACACGATGAAGACAGCATTTTCGTGCTCGGTTTTGGTGGGTCTTACCTGTTTGAGAACGGTTTTTCTGTGGTCCTCGTTACAAAGTTAGCGCGTGGTAGGGCAACTTTCAGGAAATCCTCCAATTCCTCCGCTCCATCTAATACTCTAACCTCGTTTGCCATCATATCGGATCATGATCAGGACAAAAACCAAAACCAAAACGTGTCCATCTAAAAAAACAAAACCAAAAAAACAAAACGTCGTCTGTCACTACCGGTATTCTTCCCTTCCCGCCGCAATGACCTTTCAAGTTTCAGGTCATAAAATAATGTGTATTGTTGTACAATGTATGTATGTACGTGTACGCGACGAGACTGCAAGCTGAAATGCATCCGTCATCTGTCCGACCCTGCAATGGCCACGGCCAAGTGTCCCGGAGCTTCCGATCGGTATCGCGGTCGCGCGACGCGGCCACGTACGAAGGCTTGGCTGTGACGTTAATTTTTTTATGATGGAAAATCCGCAAAAATAGATAAGCTTGTCCCTTTAGCCTTTCGCGAAGAAAAGTCTTCGATCGAGTCAACCAAAACACGATTCGAATGCCGAGGGCTCAGGGCCAGGCGATCATCCTCGTTCGAATCGTGTCTTGTCTTCGTGCTGTGGTGGCCCCCACTGGCAGTGTTCACGTGTTCAATAGTGGTGTACACGCATGAGTGAGTGTGCGGATGTGTGCGCAACGAGTGAGTGCAGGGTGGACAGAGAATGTACTGTTGTACAGTGTGATCCCTGCTGGGACGCGCTCGACGCGTCTTCAACTGTTCAAGTTAGTTCAACGGTACAAACATCGAAGAAAAGTCTTCGATCGAGTCAACCAAAACACGATTCGAATGCCGAGGGCTCAGGCGATCATCCTCGTTCGAATCGTGTTTTGGTTGACTCGAAGGCTTTTCTTCGATGTCTCAGGGACATCCCAAAAGGCCAAGCTCTAGCCAGCAGAGCCTGGAATTTTTGTAAAGCGTTCCTGTGGCGGCGGAACTCCTGCTGCCGCTCCAACAGGAAACAGTGGGAGTGATGAAGTCGCTGTTATTCCAGACAATCCAGTTGAACTTTCGGAGCGGACTGACAGTCAAACTCCGCCAGACGTGGAAGAACCTGTTGTCAGCGAGCAGCCAGAACATAAAGAACAGCGCACAGTGACAAGTACCGCTGCCTATGTAAAGGATGCTTTGAGAGCCGTGAGAAATTGTTGGACTCGCATATTCAACAAATAATTAATAAAATAATTTCATGGAGTCAAAGAATAGAAAGACAATCTCATCGAGTCAGGAACACGTGGTTGATTTTATAGACATGCATGCACAAATGATTGATAGATGAGAAGGTTGGAATTTATGGCAGATAATAAAAGTTTAACGAGGACAAAGTTATTATTATTATTATTAATATTATTATTATCAAATTTTTGATAGGGCAATCCCCACAGGCAGAAAGAGCTTTTCGGAAGGGACCAGGGACACGTATCACTCTAAAATCAGAGGGGAGAGCGTTCCAGAGAATGCTTCCCCAAAACATCATGCTCGATCGTACCGCAGGCCCACCGTGGGGACTTGAAGCAAGTTCGACACTTGTCCCCGTGTGGTGCGCTGATCCTCCGGAACAATCTCTGGGGCCGTTCGGGTGAATAACTGTTGAAGAAGGGGCTACAGGAGGAGCTTCTTGACATTGATTTTCAAAATGGCTGACCTGGGACAGTAGCATGATGTCATCTACCCCCACCCCATCCCGCCTTGATCCCGGCCGCAACCCCCCCTCAGCCAAATCCTGGACACGCCACTGGTATGTGATGGGAATGCTGGTCACCTAATTCTACATTACACCTGAAACCTGGCAGGTCTCTGACACCGGAATTTCAATACACCTGAAATCACACGATTGTTATACAGTAGGCGGACCACACAACAACACTCAACAGGAGCAAGACTAGACTGACTGATGCTGATCTATTTGAATGTTTCGATGGTTGTCTTCTTCAGAATGATGATCATTATCAGTATCTAAACTCGGTTGCTGAGCCAATATTATAAGTTAAGAGAAAGGACCAATACAGTACTGCCGATCGCCGAAGAACTGGGGGGGGGGGGGGGGGGGGGGTCAGCCTCCTAGCCTAGACCGTTCTTATTCTCATGCATTGCATACAGTGAGTCAATGCACAGTTGAGTCACCGTGTATACGTTGGTATGCTGTGCTTGCTGA